ATTCGACAGCCAGCTCTTGACGGCGTTTTCGTCGTCAATCTATGTATCCGGCCTCATCGCCTCTTTCTTTGCTTCGCGCATAACTATGGAGTACGGCCGCAAGCGTTCTATAATCTGCGGTGGGATCGCGTTTTTTAGTGGGGCCGCCATTGGCGGTGCTGCCGAAAACCTCTACACGCTGATGATGGGACGTCTCCTGCTTGGAGTGGGAGTCGGTTTTGCTAACCAGGCTGTTCCGTTGTACTTATCGGAAATGGCTCCCTCGAAATACAGAGGAGCCTTTAACTTTGGTTTCCAATGCTTTCTCAGCATCGGGAGCACGGGCGCCTTCCTCCTCAACTACGTCACCTCCAAAATCAGTGGCGATCTCGGGTGGCGAATTTCTTTGGCTACGGCTGTCTTCCCTGCCTTTGTCCTCATCCTCGGCACCTTATTCCTCCCCGAGACCCCCAACAGCCTTATCCAACGGGGGCACGACACGGAGGATGCCAGGAAGCTCCTCCAGAAAATTCGTGGGACGGACGATGTGGAGGCTGAGCTGGACGACCTCCTTTCTGCCACGTATGCAGCCCAACAGATTAAGACCCCGTTTGGGAAGATCCTAAAGAGGCGTTATCGACCCTACCTGGTAATGGCGGTGGCTATCCCATTCTTCCAGCAGATGACGGGGATTGCGGTTATATCTTTCTATGCCCCAATTCTGTTCCAGACGATCGGGTCAGATGAAAGTGGGTCTCTCATGTCTTCTCTCATCACGTCCTCCCTCGGGATTGTCTCCACGGTGCTCTCGTCCCTGCTCGTGGACCGTGTTGGTCGGAGGGTCATCTTTGTTCTTGGTGGGGTCCTCATGTTTGCCACTCAGATGGGGATTGGGGGGATCATGGCCGAGAAGCTTGGAGACCATGGAGTGCTGAGCCCGGCCTACAATGCTGCGATTGTGGTCCTGATCTGCGCCTATGTGACGGCGTTCGGGTTCTCGTGGGGCCCGCTTGGGTGGCTGGTGACGAGCGAGATCTTCCCATTGGAGATACGTTCGACAGGGCAGAGCATAACTGTGGCAGTCAGCTTCTTATTCAGTTTCGTGATAGGGCAGATGTTTTTGGCCATTCTCTGCCATCTCAAGTCGGGGACATTCTTCTTCTTCGGGGGTTGGGTGGTATTCATGACGGGTTTCGTCTTCTTTTTGTTGCCGGAGACGAAGAATGTGCCGATCGAGAAGATGGATAGGATATGGAGAGATCACTGGTTCTGGAGGAGGTATATGAGTGATGATGATGATTTGGAGTGGATGGAGGACAACATTGAGGAGCCCTTCTTGAAATCCATTAAATAAATAGCTTTGATGTTCATAAAGGCATAAAGATTCTTGTATGGCTTTCATTATTTCATATTTTTACACTGGATATATAGATAGATTCACACTCTTGTAAGAGAAAAAAGTTCTTGTACAAGGATGTTGTGGTTTTTATACAAAGAAGAAGTTGGTTTCTGTACTAGATATGAAGATGCTGATTTATGAGTATGGTGGTTTTAACTTTTATCTAAAGAAGTTGGCTATACTTTAGCTCTGAGGCTTCAATATTTGAATCACTCAATTGTTCACAACTAGGATTTAAGATGACAAAGACGATGTTCACCACTGAGGCGGGGAATAGGTGTTGGCGGTCGGAGTTTGACCGCATCCATGTTTGCGTCTATGAGCCCTAAGTTGTTTTGTGTATTTGTGAGTTCAGATTTATTCTTGTGTGTGCGCGATGGCCCTAATTCGTGTTTTTTTGTGTTTGCCAGTTGCCACATTTGTAGATGTGGGGTTGAAAATTTTCTGGCTTGGTTGGCATATATGTGCAAATTCAGCAACTTTTAAATTTTTCGACGAGCCGCGATGATGAAATTTCATTGTGCATATGATGAGATGAAATCTAGCTGAACGCGCCGGAAATTTCCCTGCAGGACAGCTAGTGGTGGCCACGGGTTGCGGGCGATGGAGATGATGACAGTCTAGACTCAGAGCCAGGGGAAGGTTGTGAGGTCTGGCTTGTAAATTAATGGTCATCACTGTCCAAAGAAAAATATACCGACCAAAAAATGATCGCAAACTTAAATTATGTCATGGTCAAGAGAAATACACACTTATTGCGAAAAACATCAAAAGAAATACATACTATAAAACAATGAAATATTGAGATTAGTATGAATAAACGCTGAAAAACATCATGATCGATAATTATGAATAAACATCAAATAATCATTGAAAAAATTTATATCGGATGTACCCGTAAAATCTTCTAATATACAAAACATAAAATATATATAAAGTGAAAATATAACATCTATATACTCAACATATAATGTACATTTGAAAGTTTCGATTCTCCTAATGTTCTTGCAAATTGCTCCTACATTGCACCTCCTTCAACGATGATAAAACCATCAGCGGCGTCGGAGTCAGGACTGTCGGGCCATCCAATATCACCTTCACCAACGACGCCCGCGTCATGCCGTCGCCTTGAGAACGAGTTCTCGATCAGTCACGCCTTCTACTAAAACAAATGTCGGAATTCCTTCGTCCCCCCTTGAAAATGTAGGTGAAGGCCTTGGGCTTGCCGCAATTGGATGAGTGATGCAGTCGAAAGCGTACGAAAGACACGAGAGTATAAAATACTCGATAATAATATAATTTTATTCAATCATTCACCAACTTCTTCATCATATGATTACATAATTTATA